ACAGACTGTCCTGTTATTCCATATTTAAAAAAGGACTTGGTTTATAGTTGGATCTTACTTCTCTCTACACATCACTGGCATAAAATAAAATGCCTTCATCAGTACAGTGCTGTTAACCAATCAAAAACCATAACAATTTTTCCTATGTTGTTTATGCTAACAGCTACAGAGATGTTTTATTTGGCCCACAAGATCATACCAGATATGTACTAGAATTGGCCCGTCAGTATATAGTCATATATACTGGCAGGATTTGTAGTATTAGTGTTGTATGCGCTATGCTATGTTATAGCACATACATATATACACACATACAGTACATTTTGAGTTTTTTGTTGGACTGTGGAAAAAAAAGATTTACATTAAAAAGGAACTCTAAAGGCTACAGATAAAGAGACATAATAAGAAACTAATACTACTGATGTGGGTTTTATTTCAAATTTAATTTCCCATTTGTTAATAATATTAAGCTTTGGTTGTTCCAGAGTCAAAAATTATTTTGTTTCAATATGAAAAAATGCTACATTCCAGATCTGGAGAGAAGGGAAAACAGTTACAATTGCCGTCAGTTTTTTTCAATAAATTTAAGGTTGTCCTGTGACTTCGTCCCAGTTTTAAATTTTGGGCCCACTGTGAAATAGAGTTTGATACCCCTGTTGTAGATGGAGATTGAAGCCTCCTCACCATGACCCAATTTGAAACACTAACATAATGACTGTCGTTAAACCTGTAGACCTTGTGTTGCACAAACCCAGAGGAGCAAACGTGTTGTTCCTGAACAGTCAGCCAATCCTCCAGAGTCACTGTTCAGCCCTACTGTAGGTCACTGACACAGCTGCTTCCATGGAGCAAACCATGGAAGCATGTACAGGATGTTCACTGGACAGAGAGATAAAAACCACAGTTGAATTTCCAGATGGCTACGCAGTACTGGTGTCACAGAAAGTGTCTGAAACTGCACAGATGCTGTTCCATCGAGTGCAGGAAACTCACAGCTATTGCTTTATCTCCACTGAACTTCCAATAAAAAGGTGTGATTCGTACAATCTGCTAATCTCATTTAACAAAGAAAATTAAATCCCCACCCCGTTAGCCCCCTCTTCCCAATTAAGCCCAGGAAAATTTACTGTGGTAGCATTCGTCCAAGTACTGGATACTCAGGAGTGCAAATACACTCTGTGCTGTGTTGTGTCTTTGTGTTGTTTGCACACGAATTTATCTACTGTAGAATAAACAGACACATCCTGAGGTACAAGGTCTTGTTTCTTCCAAAGATAAAAGTCTGGCTGCCGAGTGGTGCACGGACCATTGTGGGGGGTGAGGGTGGGGGAGGGGAGACTAATTTAAAATACATTTAAAAATATATGTGGATACTGAATTACTGGTCTATTTGCAAAAGTGACTGTGGATTATTCACTGAACATGATACTTCCCAGATGGGAGGACGCTCCAAATAATTAGTCTGTAGCTTAGTCCTCGTCCACTAACGTGTTCATTACAACTAAAGTCTGCCTATATTACATGCAAATATATGCCAACTGTTTTTCTGTATCACATTAATAGTTACTGCCAGGATTAATTTTAATTGGGAAACATCTTTGATGAGTATCAGTTCAATTTCAACAATTACAATTTTATTTTGAAAAATAAATGAATAAAAAATAAACAAAATAAATGTTGTTTTTGTTCATAATTGAAGGCTATCATTTTTCTCACATGCTTAAGTAGGAAAGTGATTCGATATATATTCACCTAGACTACGTGACTTCGCCATCTTGAACAAAAATATTTTTAAATCAAATTTACTAAAGGTAGATTTAGCCTTTTTCCAGGTAATCCATTTTCGTGCAGGTTTTCAACCTTGATCATCGGCCGTAGTTTAATGACTCAGCTTCAACTCTTCTCCTCTTTTGCTACAAACATTAAAACCTTCTTCGTGTAAACATGTAATTTTGTCCATTGTGAATGTGAACATAATACGCATCAGTGATCAGCCCATCTGGGACACTTCAGTTAACGATCAGAGCAGGGTAACATTTCGGTGATTGATGCTCCCCGTGGGACGTGACTGTTGTCTTATGTTGTTTTTGTCCTTTAATTTTCTTCTACAGATTCTTGTCTCTGGCCTAAATCCTGCATTTAGTCTTCAAATATTGCATATTAAGTGTTTGAAAGACAGGATCAGTGCAGAATGTCAGTTTGTCTTTATTAGAGCGCTTTAATAGAGGGTGGGAAAATAACCAAATTTACAAAATAAAACAAATTACAGAAAAAAAAACCCGCCATCTCTTTATTACCCTAGCCTTGTGAATCTCTCTCTCTCATCCTCCCTCTCCCTCTGTGGGTGTTCAGTACACCAAGTGCTGTGCGATTACAACGACCATGAGGCGGCACAAACCAGCGGGGGCGCCGAGAGCCTTGAGCCAAGTGTCCTCGCTTCCCCAAGTGGTTTTTCTGGCAGGGTTTTTGGTGGCAGCCGTGGAGTCAGCGTTGTCCAATCAGGTGGTGACAATGCTGCGTGGCAACATGATGGAATTTCCACAACAGCTCTTGTTGTTGTTCATCCGTGGCTGCCATCTAGCACACGAGGATGATGACAGCACAGTTCTGCTGACACCACGTCTATGTTGCTAAACATTTCTGTGCTTAAAGTTAGAATATAGACCTGTTCTGATCAGGTTCATCAAGTCTGTGTCCAAGAAGAACTTCCTCTAACTTAATAACCAATGATATAACTGAGCCACGGTTTTCAACAATGGTGCTGAATTTTGCCAAATATTTGGGGCAGGGCCTTTAAACTCCCGGTCTGTGGCCAACTTCCAGCCCACAAACCACACCTTTAGATGTTATTCACAATTTAATTTGCCCTTTATTGTTAATGTGTTTACTGTACTCTTGTTGGTCATTTAAGAATAAGAACTAATAGAAATATTAATAGGTATTGTTTGAATTACAGCCATGTATCATACATGTATCTAAATATACAGTATATACTATACCATATAACATGTACTATGTATAAATACTTACATATGCATGTATTTCTACATAGTATATATTATATGGTAGAATATATTTATATATATATATGTGTATGATACATGGCTGTATAAGCTAAATATTATTTGCCTAAATTCCTAAAAGGTGGATATGTTTGATGTTCAGTACTTGACAAAACAAATCAAGTTAATACTGTTTGCTGTTTGGTTTTGTTTGAGATTTAACCTCCCGACCACCTCTCTCCTCTCCCACCAGTGGCCAGTTTGCTGTGGTCAGGAGATGTCGACACAGGAGTACGGGTGTGGAGTACGCTGCCAAATTCATCAAGAAGCGGCGCAGCAAGTCGAGCCGCCGAGGGGTGATGAGGGAGGACATCGAGCGTGAGGTGAACATCCTGAAGGAGATCCAACACCCCAACATCATCATGCTGCACGAGGTCTACGAAAACAAGGCAGAAGTCATCCTCATCCTGGAGCTGTGAGTGGTTTTTCCTCGTTCTCGTCCTCAACCCCCGCCGTTCCTCCTCACATCACTGCACAGTGGTGTGTCCCTGTTAAAAAGATTGAGAAATAAGTTTTATTGAAAGATTATTTATATTATATTAGCTATTTATTAAACATGTTATTGTTATCGTCTTAAATTGAATCAATAGTATTATTACACAATACACACTGTAGTAAATTATTATTTAATGTAAACACAGCCATACAAAGCAGTGTTAAATGTTGGCAGGGGGCCACAGTGATTTGTAAATCATTGCCAGATTAGCTCATCCATCTTTTGGTGCAGCATTTTTAACACACATCCATGTTTTGATAACCACATATGAGGTCCTATAGAACATTGTACTTTATCTCGGTCTTAATGACCAGGTATTTGATGAATGATGATCGTTAATATTATCATTAACATCGATGATAGCATTATTATCTATAAATTAGATCCCCAATCCCACCTTCATCCACAGACAAAAGAAAATAACATTACAAAAAGTGCAATTTCTTCACTTTGGAAAGAAACATAAAGAAAATGTTCAAATTTAAAATAATCTGCCTTTCTGCACAGTTTCACTGCCTCCCCCCCACTTTGAAAAACGCTGATCTGTTGAAGCAGCAACAGAATAGAACCTGCTGTTTTCATAGGTTTCACACCTCAACTAACTTTGTCCATATATCCCTGTACTGTTCCTATAAACCTTGGCTGTGAACACTCCAGCACAGCACCAGTCAGACCAGTTGTTGAAGACATACAGGAACATCTTCTGTTTACATTTCAACCTACCATCTGACTCAATTATTCAGTGCAAACAAGCAGAAATACAGAACACAACTGCACCTCAATTACTGGGTCGCCTCAGAGCCGGCAGTAAGAATGAGAGCTGCAGTTGTCGGGCAGCATTCCTGACCAGTGATCACATACAATGACATTAAAAGGAGGAAAATGAGCACACTTTTCAGCTCATACCTCGAGTGAAGGAGACACCGGTGAACCTTGAGTAACAAGATAGTTTAAAGATAATTGAACTGGTAAAGCAGGTTGCTGTGTTTGGAAGTAACATGTAAATTAAATAGATTGATGGATTTTTGCCTCCTAGTGCAGCTACAAAGGGCCATTTAGATTTTACATGAAATGTTGTATTAAAGACTACTGCAGGCTGTCAATAATCCAAATATAATCTTATAATAATTTTGTTTCCCAAACCTTTTTTCTGGGGACCCATATTTTAAAAATTTCTTGCGACCCAGTCTTTGGGAAACAATGTTCTAAAGGACCAAAACTAAAATTGTCCCCTGGCTCTGCCAAATCTACACACATACAGGACAAATGTACAAAAGAATTATTATAAATAATGACATGAAATTAATGTCCAAGACCAGTCCAGGAAAATCTGTCCTATTCTTGCTAACAGCCTATCATCACATCATCAGCATACGTAATGATCAAAGCCAGAAAAGAGAACCGCCTTCAAATGTTTAGCAAGCCGCTATTTAAGAGCCGCTAGTTTCGATGTTTTTCTCATTTTGTGCTTCTCCTCAATTCTTCCTGCTCCTGGTATATTAAAAAAACCCTCCTTTTTGTTATATCTTATAATTACCCCCACGAATACATGAAGCACTTTACTCTGTACTAATTACCTCAACAATCTGCATATTATCTCGACATACAGGACAATACTGCTTGATTTGGTATTTCAAATGCACCATCAAAATAATTATCATAATTGTGTTAGACTAACCTTTACTTTGACGCAAAAATCTACTAAATGATGGCTAACTCAGTAAACACTAATTATGAACATGTAAATATTTCAGTTAATTGTAGGGACATTTTCCTGACTGATTCCCACAAATGAATTTCTTTTGCTCCAATTTTGCCTCAAATTCAACACTTTTGAAGCATTTACTGCTGGGACACAAGATGTTTTGTGAATCAACACAGAAAATTTCTAAAGGGCAAACAGGAAGTGACTTATTGAAGTAGACCACGGCAACTGTTGAAGCAGTTAGCGTTGGATGTGATGACTCAGTGTAAATGACACTGACTGCTGTTTTGTTCACAGTGGATGCTGCCGGTCAATGGCAGAGGCTTTCAGCTGCTTTAATAGTTAGGAACATGTTATATTTATAATCACGTGTGATATTAATAATAAAATAATTGAAATAAATATATATGGTATAAATGACTAATCCAACTGTTGACAGTGACCTTCAAGCAGGTGAAAACAACAACCTACATGTAGAGGCCTTTATTGTGTGAAGATAGACTCCTCCCCCTCCTCCTGCACTTTGACCTGAATCATTGGCAGTGGCAGTGATGACATCATCATTTCAGGCTGAAACCCCCTAATTGTTTTTGGGAAACACCCTGTCAGCCCCGCTGAGGCAGATGATGAAGTAAACATCCCAGGTCCCAGTGTGTGGGGGGAGGAGGTAGAAGGGGGTTTGTGGGAGTGGGGGAGGTGGAGGTCCCAGCTGTGCAGCCGATCTGCTGTTTCCTCCCCTGTAGGGTGGAGCAGCTTGTGTTGGTGTGAATTTGTCGTTGTTGGTTTCTGCAGATGAATAGAGACAAACGTTGCTGTGTGGAAACTTTCATGCATTCAAATAGGAACCAGATGAATAATAATGTGAAATGGAGAAGTCGAAGGGTGATTTGTATGTATTTAAACGCCCTGTTTGTTAAAGGTTCAGGCCTGTGATCTATCAAAGGGTTGTTGATTTGAATCCCAGCCTGGACAGGGCTGTGGTGTGTTGAGCAACCTCTGTGTGTGTGTGTGAATGTGTTTGTACTCAGTCAAGTCGAGTTTCTTCATCTTCCCCTTCTTTATCATCCTCATTTTCTTCTTCCTCTTATTCCTCCTCCTTCCTCTTCTTAATCTTCTTCACCTTCCTCTTCCTCTCTTTCTTCCTGCTCTTCTTTTTCTTTTACCTAATTTTCATTCTTCTCTTTCTTCCTCTTCTTGTCTTTCTTGTGGTTCTTCTTCTTCCTCTTCTTCGATACAAATCACCAAAGAAAGTGTAATCGCAGTTATCCATGCCTCTCCTCTCCTCTCCTCTCTTCCCCTCTCTTCTTCTCTCTTGTCCTCTCCTCGTCTCCTCTCCTCTCCTCTCTTCCCCTCTCTTCTTCTCTCTTGTCCTCTCCTCGTCTCCTCTCCTCCTTTCTCTCCCCTCCTCTCTTCTCTTCTCCTCTCTTGTCTTGTCTTGTCTTGTCTTGTCTTCTCTTCTCTTCTCTCCTCCCCTCTCCTCTCCTCTCCTGCCCTCTCCTCTCCTCTCCTGCCCTCTCTTCTTCTCTCTTGTCCTCTCCTCGTCTCCTCTCCTCCTTTCTCTCCCCTCCTCTCTTCTCTTCTCCTCTCTTGTCTTGTCTTGTCTTGTCTTGTCTTCTCTTCTCTTCTCTCCTCCCCTCTCCTCTCCTCTCCTGCCCCCATCACACCGCCCCTCCCTTCAGGCTCTTATTTCTGTTGCCCTGCCGTAGCAACAACAAAACCAACATGTTTTTCTAACTTCTTCTTTCTTTCCTATCACTCCAGCGAAGGCAGAGTTCTGATCATTTTAATAAACAGTCAACAGCTCTTCAGAGGAATCGACCCACCCTGACCTTTTTTTTGCCGCAGAGATGAAATGAAAAGTCGTGACTTGGTTGTTATGAGTAAGATACTTGGTGCTGAATATAGAAGAGTCCCATCAAGCCTCGACTTCAATCGAAAACAGACTTTTTTCCTGTGGCAATATTGTTGTTGTTTGAGAAACAAAATGAAATTAGTTCTAATCGAGGAACTATTTTCATTTTATTTCTTGTATTTTTCTGTATGAAATTTTGGAGACATCAAAGCTTCTCCTTTCAGGCAGAGTTAAGGTTATTAAAGGCCTTATTACTGATGCTGTAACACTAATGAAGTAATTCATTAGAGCCAGTACTGGTTAAGATCCACTTTGATAATAATAACTAATGACCCTGTGATTCACCAGGATGATTAGATCACATCAGCTCAACTCTGTCAAACAGATGGATTTGCTCTGATGTGACACATCTCACATTTTAATTCATGTTTTCTCACTTTGTTTTTCTCATCCAGGGTGGCTGGTGGGGAACTGTTTGACTTCCTGGCCGAGAAGGAGTCGCTGAGTGAGGAAGAAGCCACTCAGTTCCTCAAGCAGATCCTGGACGGAGTTTTCTACCTGCACTCCAAACAAATCGCACACTTTGACCTTAAGGTAGAGCGGCTTCACCTAGTGGACGACCTCAGAAGAGAATATTAAGATCACACTTTCTGTCCATTTGAAACAGTCATGTGCGTACATAATAATAATTGCACACACTTTAATGCACAATTAGGGAATAGGAGGTGGAAAAATGACAAATAATTAGCTATTATGTAACGTGAGACCATTTTTTGTTTCAAAGTCTAGGTTCTTCCTACACTGGAATTGTACCTAACAGATATGAAGGGAAATTGTAGTATTATGTTTGTTAATTAATTAAGCATCAAAGTAAATGAGACTTTGTCATCTGACCATATTTTCCCAAACTTTTTTTCTGGGGACCCATATTTTAAAAGTTACAAACCTTCACGACCCAAGTCAACAGACATTATTGGTAAACTCCTGGGAAACATGATGAGAGACGACCCCAAAGAAAAACAAATCTCTTGCGACTCACCTGAGGGGCGTGACCCAGTCTTTGGGAAACAATGTTTTATAACTCTCACAAATAAACTGTGTTTTTGTTTTGTGAGCTCTTCACAGCCACAGTGCCAACAATCCACATTTTCCTGCTTTAATCTCAGCTATTAGAAAATATATGGCTAATTTTAATCCTAACCCTAACTGCAGAACACTGACCAACCGTTCCATACCAAAGGTTTCTGGGTGATTTATTTTCAGAAACCTTCTTGTCTGCTTGTTACTTAAATTCAAATCAATATCATTGATCAGTTATCCATTTACAGGTAAATCTATGGCCTTGTTACACTAACAGACTTTGACGTTTTCACAATCGTACAAACCATAAATCAGAGTTTGAGTACGTTGGACTTTATCGTCTGAAGTGAGCAATAAAGACCAGAGTCATTAGAGAAGTGTTCTAATCGACAGGAAGTCTAACCACAGCTTCCTGTGCACTGTTTATTTTCTCTAAAACCTCTGACAAACATCTTTTTATCTTTTTATTTGGATTATTTGGTTCCTGGCTTTGCTTTCCTCTGAAATCTTTTTTTAAACATAATTAGAAATAAAAATAAATTTAAGCCAGCCACTAGGGTACACGAAGCCGTGTTTATAGTGCCGGTCCCAAGCCCGGATAAATGGTGAGGGTTGCGTCAGGAAGGGCATCCGGCGTAAAACGTTTAGCTAAATCAAATATGCAGATCAATAAAACGATTTCTATACCGGATCGGTCGAGGCCCGGGTTAACAACGACCGCCAA